CTTGGTTGGCCTAGGCGGGTTTCGATCCGGGATTCGAACCCCTGACTCTTGCCTAATTATGAATGAGTATCTCTTGATGAGAAAAAGTCTCATGAAATTGACTCCAACTTCTCTCTTATCTTAACATCGGCATTGTCGTTTACGTTGGTAAAATTCCTCTGCCGTTAGAGGTTCTTAAGGTGAAACCTCATGAGGAACACCCTGTGTCCCCCAAGAGTAAAAGGAAGAGCGCTGTCAGGTCCAAAAACTCAACGGCTAGGGCATAGTGGGAGCAACGTTACCGGATCGCCCGGTTTCCCCGCCCCTCGATCGATGAAGTGTCAGACGAGTGTCGAGGCGATACAGATTGCAATATTCGCACCAGGACTCACATGTTCAGCACGCAATCAGCTGATCGCCGAGTAGTAAGGCTATGTTTTTCTCCTTTTTTACTATTCTATGTTATTCTTTTCGCTACTGCAATCCTTTCTCTAGTTTTCTACCTCAAGAAAGTGAAGAAGGTGGGCCATTTTGCTGTTACTGGGACTTTTGTTAACTGATGCTTATGAATGAATGATTTTAATGGACATCTCCGCTTGGTGTTGTCAGCTGTTCGCAGCTGTTTTTTTTTGTCAATCTGGATTACCCAAAAATGTCGTGAGTTGTGCCTTTAATCAATGGGCGGTTTTCGATGCACAATTTATCTCGTGGCTGAACCATTTTGCTCTGTCCTCTTTCTCACCAACATAACCATGCCCAACATTCCAACAATAGAGTCCTGGATTTCTTATGGTTAATCTCTTGACTGTCGATCCTTACCTTCACACCTACATTCAAAGTGCATCATAGCCAATATTATCAACCTCATTTACTCAAAAGCAAACTCTTCCCCACGTCGAACTAATTCCATTTTCATTTATTTAGAATAGCAGTTGCGTTCGGAATCTATTGGGTTGTAACATAAGTTCGTAGAGTTTTGTGTTAGCGTCATTTTACAACGATTCGCTTTGTTTTTTGGCGAAGTGTATATATTCATTCGAAAGGGCTCTTTCTCCTCTATAAAATAGCTTTATTCGTTTTTTTGGATAGTCTAGTTGTACGTCTTTTTTCTGGCTCAGAAATGGAATATCCAGGAGGAGAAAATCAGCATTTTCGACATCTGCTTTTCATCGAGGTCAATAAGCAGCCGAAGCCGCTCGGGACATATGCAATGTGTACGAGTAAGGTGTCCTAGGTGTGTCTCTGGGTGGCCCCAGGAGAGGCACCGAAGCCGAGAGTCAAGCAAGACCTTCACTCAAAATAGGTCATGATTTGCGTTTGGTGAGATTGGAAAGGCACGGTGCACTGGGAAATGCTCGAACGAAATGCTACTGTCAACAAGGAGGTCTACATTGCCCAGCTTAACCGTGTTAGTGTGGCTATTCTGCTGAAAAGACCCGATAGACAAGGTGCGGTCATCTTGCTCCACGACAACGCCAGCCCCATAATGCCCAAGTCGTCAAAACAGCACTCCAAAAGCTTGAATAAGAGGTTCTTCAGCATCCACCGTACTCTCCGGGTCTTGCACCTACCGACTACCACCTTTCCGCTCTTTGTCAAACCAAATGCGGAGTGTTACCTTCGATGGCGAAGAGGTTCTTGGAAACTGGCTCAACAGCTTCTTCTACACCAGACCGGCCGATTTTTGGCGAAACGGCATCAACAAATTGGTCGAGAGATTGGAGGAGGTCGCAAACAGTAACAGGAAGATACATCATTGATTAATTTATTATTATAATTATTGTTTTTTGGTAAAATAAATCGCTGTGAAAGAACTCTACGAATTTATGTTACAACCCAATATATATGGTCCACGCAATGAGATCCTATGGTTACCGATGTACAAGTTAGCGCTTTCCTCCATTCAGATGAGTCTGGTATAAACTAAGCGACACTAGTGGAATGGAAGGCTCTCTTGGTCTAGACAGGTAGGGATCCGATGATGATAATGCCAAAATATGTCCTCCTGCTCCTGTCATGCTAGTTGTGCTTTAGAGAAAAACTGTTACCAAGACCGTCCTTGGTAACAGTTTTTCTCTAAAGCACAACTAGCATGACAATGTATGACGGAACTGTTAAAGAATGAAGAGCTAATCATCAGTGAGTGACCTAGCGTGAACAGGAACTTTATACGAAGTTCACTGACTTGCTAAATCATCTCCCCAATAATTGTGTGTTCAGACTAATACTACGCGTATAATGGCTGGAGTTTGGAGCCTTTGGATATCGACCAATAGTGTCTGAGGAGTGCGTACCCGCATTCGACTTCAATTCAATATCGTCTTGACGGTTCTGAAAGCGTATATCTCTCTCATTTATAAGGCAGAAACTTGGTGTGTCGGTGTGTCGGTTTGTCGGTTTGGGTGTTTGTCGGTATGTCAGTATGCCGGTGTGTCCGTCCGCAAAAGCTTATGATTACGATAAATGTAGTGATATGGAAAACCTAGCTCTATTTCACTACATTTCTTCATTCAAAGGGAAAGGGGGAGAGGAGATTTTTTAACTGCTCTGTAAAAGTAGGGAATGGGGGTCCGGCGTACGCCGGGTGACCGAACTGGTGGCATATATTATAGAATGGCTTGAGGTGAACAGCTTATGTACAAGTCGATGCTTTTATTTTTCCAAACGTGTCTGGCACCAGTTAATCAACCCCAAAAAATAGAAGGCTTGGTCAGCCTGGGGGAGTACTAAGCCATCATTGGACCATTTATGTGATATAGTATGTCCACCCTTCCTAGGAAGTTTGAAGAAATTGTGACGAAAAACTGTGACGAAAGATAAAAAAAAAACTCGGATTTTTGTGGAACAACGTCACCATCGAAGACTACGAGACCATTCCCAAGCATTGGAATCGCAGATCAGAGATGAAGTTCAAATAAAAGCTAACTCAAACGCTCAGATGTAATGGAAGAGATTCTCTTATTTCGGAATCTCCATTGCATTGTAGTCTTCAAGAAAAAAGATTGAAATATTGAGAAACCCGAGCATGTCATAAAACCGCAACCAGATTTCCGAGCTATACGACCATCTGTATAGCAAGTGGCAGAGTTAGCCCTCATTTTCCTTATTACGGTCTTTGTTTGCATCATGGTTTTCCAGATTAAGTGTAATCATTGGGTCAACGAGGAATCGTAATGATACCGTGAGGGTGAAAGTTGTCCAAAGCCTTCCTTGCGTCAAGTATAAAAGGGTCTGTTCTTTGCTGCTCATCATCGTCAGGTTTATAAAACTTCAAAAGACACCTGTAGCATCTACAGTGATCTCATTCTGAATGATGTTCTTGAGCAAATAGTGGAAAGACATTTTAGTCCGCACTCGACACTTCATCACAAGAAATTCACATCAAAAAGCTCCGAAATAAGCAACAAATATGTTTGAAATAATCAGGCCGTAGATTTCGAAGGAGTGACGTCTACTCTTTCGTATACGCCATGAATTTAATAAACACGAAGCTTCACAGTTTTGTATTCCAAGTTATGGCTAATATTTACGTTTTTCTGACTAATGAAATGTATTCGCTGTCGTCAGCCTTCCCAGTAACGATAACACCCCAGTTGCATGAAATAACAAAGCAGCGTGGGTGGAGCGCTAAAAAAAATCGAGCTATTAGGTTGGCAAATAAGTCCTGCGACAAAATGGAGACCTTTTTTTAATCGTTTCTAATTTTTTTCATATCAATCAATTTTCGCAAAAATATTTACTAAAGAAGTCAACAACCTTCTTTTATCCCTTGAGCCAATCACTGATGCCATTTCTTCAGAAGTGAGGGAGCTGTGACTCAAAGAAGTAATTGACTACCGTTTTTGGATCACATTAAGTTACGAACTTCTTTTCCACAACGGGATGCTCAAAAAGGGAGTGCACATAGTAGGTAAAAGGGGGAACACTCCGAGAGTAGGACTGATGAGTTATCAGGAACCAATCGCGATCGGTGAACTTTTGACGTGGGTCTAAAGCGAATTTTCGACGTGCGTTGTCCCTCTGTAGGGGCCTGATTTACGGTTTGATCGCCTTTCTCTAACCCCGTTGGCCAAATTAAGGGGTTCATAGGGGCAAGCGATAGCTGTGTCCATCCAGTCTGCGTTTGGCAACTCATAGTGGATAAATTCTTTCAACATCCATTAAATTAGGGGACGATGCTTGCGTTACCCCAAAGGCTGGTATCTTCTGCAGTAAAGCGATCCAACCGATTGTTGGCCGTCGATCGGTGAGCAGTGCTAGCATCGAATAGATTGCTGATATTACGAGCCGCTACACCTGCGTTTTTTCCTTGGCGTGCTCAGTAGAAGGAGATGGTACGAGCCGGGTGTTGTCGATTGACCGTAATGCTCTGAAAGCCCACACGCGTGCCCTTATTTACTCATGTGTTGATTACCTGAGGAATTTTCTACAAGTCTATCACCCTTGCTACCGTGTTCACATTGCTGATACAAATTTCCAACGCTTCGAATTTTTTGTCGCAGGACTTATTTGCCAACCTAATACAATTGCATACTTGAAAAAGCGCTCATTCGATGCGTTGACTCACCTCCAGGTCGCTTGATCACTAAGGATCTGTTCTCGAATGTCGAATGCATCTCCCACACATCTGTGCTTGTGCAGTTGTGTCACTGGAAGAATATTTGCTCAAATTTCAATGGCAGATATAGCAACTGTAGCTTCTCTATTATTAGATAGTTAGTTCGTGTACTTCAGTGTGTTGGAATTATTCTTGACATTTCATGGGAAGAAAAATTAGGTTACCTCGCGGTCAACCATAATTGTTGTTTCTCAGCGAACGGTCCGAAAATTTTAGACCTTCCCAGATATCAGCATATCGCGAGCTGCGCAAAAGAAACAGTTACAGTACCCATGTGTCATCTAAACCCTCCACCACGCTGTTACTAAAGAATCCACTTCCATCTCTCATTGTGCCTCCGAGTAATGCTATGCTAACAAAGTTCATTTCACAACTATTTCATTGTTGCCTTTTTCATTTCAGAATGAGGGATTGGGTATGGTGGGTCAGCTCGGTGTCAAATATCACAACCAGTGTAGTTGGAGTCGCTGCCAATACTTTTATGATTTTCGTAATCCTGAAGAAAACTCCCACACAATTGGCCACTTTTTCAATTATTTTTCTCAACACTGCATTCTGCGATTTGCTCGCCTGTTTTACTGCTCTACTAGTGCGGCAGAGGTAGGCATTTAACAAATACTACGAAGAAACTCCCACATCCACATACTCCACTAACATGGCCCATGTTATAAAGAACTAACTAGAATTCGAGCGGACAAATAAAAATGCTCATGTGAGATCCCATATACTATATTAATAATACAAGATGTCTCTGAGAGAATATTTCAGTGAGAATGGGATCAAATTTCTGATGAAACATGTGGATTTCATAGGGTAGCCATCAAAGCAGAAGTCAAGCAAAGGAGTGATGCACTGCCCGACAGCATGAAGCTTACACTTGGGTGGCATAAAAGAAAGTTTCTGAACAGAGCGATAAACATTTGTTGCTAGTCTCTCCTGCAAAAGAAAAATGGGTGGTGGAAATCTTCAATGCCAAGTTTCATTGTGATTCTGGATGGAAACTGGGATAATGCTGGAAACACTGGTAGTATTTATCATCGGAAAGAATTGGTTTGATTCAGAATACTGAAACTTGCTGTATCAGGCACAGTTTTTGGATTAAGGTAATCAGTGGTTCACTCTATGCCTAGTCCATTTTCTGGGCCAGTCTATTTAGATAGTAGTATAATTAAAAAGCCTTCCCTGTAGGTATTTTCGGACGCTTAGTGCAAATTGTTCTATTATAAAATGATTTACTAAACGAATACTCAGCGTATAATTGATAAATTACAGGTAAAAACATATGGGAAGCACACCTGAACCAGCACACCTAAACGTAGTGACACCCTTGTAACTAGGAGATTCTTGGAAGCTGCTGAAAACAGGGCAAATAACGTTTACGATGTTAGTTCACAAAGAACAACTCATCCTACAGCCAGAAGTAGACTGGCGCACTATCACACACACACACACATCATCACGGTTTCGAATCTCGGACGGGTACCCGTCTAGGTATTTAAAGCCTTCCAACCCCCCGAGGTTGGTCAGTTGGCATCAGACTCGTCTGAGAGCGTAAATTTACTGACTAGATCATCGGCTGGTCACCGCAAGTCATTGTATAGGCGACATACGCATTCATTACGCTACAGCAATTTTGAATGGAAAGGAGGAGGAGCATACCTTAGACGGCCTCGAGCTTGTTCTCTATTTGGGCACACGCTTCTTTCTACGCTTTTCTTTTGGGAGCATAACAATTTGAGGCGTAACGTCGTGACAGAAAAAGAAATTAAATAAAATTGAACAGAAATTCAGAAAAAAAAACTATAAGAGCGCTTTACTTTAGTGTATGCGTGGAGAAAGGGTATGGTATATCCTACCGGAGTGGCGTGCTGTGCTCTCCCGCGCCCGATCGCGTGCAGCCGCTCACTATAAACGGGCTAATTTAATTAAATTTTTACGGCAAATATACAGTAATTGAGAAGCGCCGTGTGGAAATTCGATTAAAAGCGTAAAAATTTAGTCTTGCATGATTGGGAAAACTAATCAAATAGTAATCTAGAAAGCTCAATAAGTTTTCTGTCTTGTTTCAGAGTTATTCCTACTGCTGTCGATTTGTGCTACATTTCTAATGGACCGTGTACATATTTTGGACCGTCGGTGTGCTTCTTCATGTGGGTGTCCAGAGTTTCCCAACAGACGAGACTTATGTCCTCTGTGACTCCAATATTACCCTTTGCTTCAGGAATGGTTTCATGCTTCATTTATTCGCTCATGCTATATGGGGTATTTTGTTCTCGTTCGCTTATCGTTATTACATCCTTAATCATCCTCCACCAAAACAAAGCAGTGTCGCAGTTGTTATTGTTCTGATATATTTACCGTCTTTCCTTCAGCTTGTGAGTTTTATGCAATAAGGTACCCCTAGACGGGGAAAGTGCAGTACTTTCAATAAGGATAGTGACTGTACAGCATTTGTGCCTTTTCATTCGCTCGCCATAGCAACTTTCAAGCGGAATAATCCTATCGTATACAACTAATGTCTGTGTATGTACATATGTATATATGTATTAAATGTGTGAGTGTGTTTGCCCGACCGGAAATTCATATTTCCTGTCCCCGTGGACCTCGAGCGTTCAAACGTGGTGGGAGTACAGGCGGCAAGATGTGATCACTTCCGGTAGGTGGCGAGACCGAATTCCGCGTGCAGGGGGCAGAATTTGTGCGAATTAATTGTTCCAGCGGAAATCCATAACTCTCGTTCCCGTGGACTTGGAGAGTTTACAATTGGTAGAAGTAGAGGAGGCGGATAGGAACACTGACGACAGAAGAGGTCTTAAGAGCGAGAACCACTCACTAATTGAATCCTACCACCTTCGTTACGATCTAACATTCACCCTTTGATATTTTATATGGCAAGAGGGGTAAGTGCAGTTATAGGGACCGATTAATGGTACTAAATGATAGGGAAAAGGAAAATTGTTTAATTTCTTGCTGTTAGATTACGACGGCTACCCAGCAGGTGTGTTACTCGATGAAGGATCACTGTTTCCCTTTGCTTCGATATCATTCTTGGCGACACTTATCCGACCGCTAAAAATCTTGGGTTCCTATCTAATGATATATCCGCAAAAAAGGAAAGCTTCTTTGATAAAGACATTTGATAACGGTATCATTATGACTCAACATCATTTGTGAGTACCATTCAAGATTTTGGTTGCCCAACAGTTGACCCTTCAATGGGTCGTTATTTTTAAGATGAACAGCAACAGATTGAGATTTCTTGTCACAGGCATAAGCACCGGCACATTTTGAATACCATTTGCATACCTATTAGCCCTTTGTCAAATTTCGTGTTCCGAAAAGTATCATTTCTTCCAAATGAGGAGTGTCCACTTTGCCAACCTATGTACTGTTCAAGCATATATCTGGTCAGTTGTGGGTTGATGTTTGCTCCTCGGTATAATCACCCCCAAATGATGGATCAAGAACTCCTATCAGAGCTCCAAATAGGAATTAATAAATAGAAGCTATTTGAGTTACAGAAGGCAGAATACAGCTTCGACTGGCAATTGCTAATCCTCTCACCCTCTCCGAATGCGTATTTATGCAGTTATTCTTCCGAAAGGTCAACTTCGACCGATACGATTGCACTACATCCCTCTGAATCCTCATAAGTGTTTCAATTATACTGCTATGGAAGTGTGTTAGACGGAAGTACAATATCTACGTGACTTCCATCGTAAGGCAAGCTCGACTTGCTGCTAAGCTCATTTACTCTTTTCAGGTACTTTATTCACTATCCGCCAGCGATAGCGAGCAAGTTAAACTAGTGATCGAAGAGAAACTTGGGTATAATGTCAGCTCGGAATGCGTTAGTGGACATCTCAATCTTGACTGGAAAATGGATTATGTCAATGCGCATATGGTACTATCGACTCCCACATCCTTCATTGGTGTTCTCATACTAAGAAAACTAATTACATCATCGGTAATTGTCGGCGTCGTTAATATGTCTGAGAACACTCGACGGCTTCATTCGCAACTCATCAGGGTGAGTTATCACTCGCCAAAGTTATTGATTGATCATTCTAACAGGGTAGTCTTCATTTCGATTTATCATTTCCTAGCTATGCTTTGGAGTGGCATTCGATTGTATGTGAGCAGATCAGTCGAATGTTTCTCTACCTTTCATTGTAGCATATAACTGTTACGAAAGGTGAAAGAAACAGGAACACCTTGATATTTTCAGATGAAAGGACATTTATGTTGAATTGATGATTCCCAGAAGTGTGCAAGTATTGAGAAAAGCACTTTTAAAGGAGCGTGTAGAATTGCATAAGAGGCATCACGAAGTTTTTCCGAAGTGAACTTTCGGGCTGAATACTCGTCCAGCCATCCAATTCTTTAAATATAATCCCTTATTGAGCCGTTTTACCTGCTGTTGTATTCAATATTCCGCTCCGCTCAGAACGGAGGAAGGAAGATATATAGAAAAATACTTTACTTTAAGGTACTCACTATCCAGGCTTGCCTACCAATGTTCTTCATATTGGGCGCCATCGGCTATTTACTTGGACAAGCAGACATCTGTCATCATCCTCTTTTAGAAAGTTCTTTTATTTTCGTTGCTGAACCTATACCGGCTTTGAATCCTTTTGTATTGCTGTATTCCATCGGTCCTTACCGTTTATGGGTACAGGGTGCGCTACGCGACTTTCGCCGGTCTTTATTCTCGAAACAAAACAAAACAAATGTCTGCACCGTCTCGATGACTACAGCGCCCGTTCTCACTCGTCTATAGAAAAGCCACAAGATTTTTCAAACGAAGTTACCCCGCTGCTTGACGCTTCTTGCTAAGAGCACTCTTGTAGAACCAAATGTATTACATTTGGACTCCTTCTGCAGTAATGGTAGGGTTCTTGAATATCAGTGGTTGATAGCCAAGAGTGTGCAATAGCCTAAAGCTGTATCTTATGATGACAGTCTACATCTTGCAATCCAATGTAAAATAGAATAACGTGATGAGTGTTTAACCCAGTGACCCAAATGAATTTACCTTTTTGCGTTTTATTGGTGACTTACAGCGTCATCCCCTTCAAATTTCTGGAGCTATCGTGTTCAGAAATTCTCGACATGTTTCTCATGTTCCGTCGGCCTAATGCATACTATCAAGAGTAAGACGGAGTAGGACATAAGGCACAAACCGAATTGCTTCATAGATAAATGGCTCTCTATAAAAATTGAGCTGAGAGCGTAAGATGAAGTACTCTTAATGCTCACTACCAGTGAGCCTTTTGCTAATAACTTTTCAATGGTACGAAGAGAACTGACAAGGAAGGTCTTTCAGGGCGTGGGACGCTTTTCGAAAATGGTTTTTTGCATGGTGGAGGGGCATGAGCACTGAGTATAGAACTATGGTCCATTTCCGCTAAATGGCCTTCTGAATGCCAAAAAATAGTGAAAATGATTTTGCCAGAAATTGCCGTTTTAATCCACTAAGCGTCATTCGTTTCATTCATGGCGCCGACTATCCGCACTATAGAAGGGGCCAGTGGAGGCAACATTGAAAATAACGTGAACGGTAGTCAATAAAGGGACCCACATGTCGAAAAGTGCGGGGAAGTTTCATATAGGCTGTGCATGGTTGAGCAGCTAGCAGCGACGGACGGTGTGGTGGGTAGCGTTGTGGACTTCGAGGAAGGACGACTAGGATGGGTTGATGGTTCGGAATTCCGAGGCTTTGCCGTTTTTGCATTTTATGCTGTCACCTCCAGATTGGCCATATATTGCACCAGGGCCGAAGCAAGTGCCTGACTTGCCATGGTCGTGACCAGGACCAGCCAGGCACATAACCTCTACAAGCAAGCCGTAAGAATTTGTTCTGTGGCGCACTATCAGTGAAGGAGCTTCCAGGCTCAACACTCCCAGGCCATTCCTACCCCCCCCCCCTTCAACTTCCTCACGTAGTTTGTAGTCAAAAAACTCGATATCATATCATCTGGTCTGGTCTTCGGACATTGTATAGACATTGCACAGTCCATACAATATGGTATGGACAGTAATGGTTTCATTGTTGTTTTATTTCGACCGAATTCCTCCAAAACTGATGAAAGGCTCATCTAATTCCGATGATTTCACCGTTTTCTACCCTATCCTTGATCTCGCGCCGTTAAAGGGTTTTTGCCCACTGTTCTGATTGGTCATCTCCATTCCTTCTCTCCTCATGATCAGTCACTCATCTTCTGCAGTCACCTCAACTTCAGCAATGTCCTTCTTATTCGAGTCCTGCCAGCCCTTCTTACGGACGCGGAATTAGGGGATCGTAGGATGGGAACGGGTATCGCCCAAACCCTTCATCTAGCCATCATCTAGTGGTCCGGGCTAGAATGATTTCATTCAGGGCTGACAGCTTTTTATATCAAGCCTAATGCTCATGGATGCTTCACCAAGAAGACGAATGATAGAGAGTCTGATTGGCTCTCACACAGTAGCACAGTAGTCCGCGGTGGACACCCAGAGGAAGGTCGGAAACGAGGTCGAGGACAGCTTCCATCGAATAGGAACCATATCATAGGGTTCGGACCACCATTACAACACTTATCTAGGGTGAATTTAAGAGGCACCTTCATACTCCCGGGAGTGTGAAGCCTGGAAGCTCCTCCACTGATAGCGCTCCTCACAACAAATTCTAACGGCTTGTAGAGGTGTGCCTGGCTGGTCCTGGCCACAGTCACGACCAGTCAGGCACTTGCTTTGGCCCTGGTGCAATATGGAGCCAATCTGGAGGTGGCAGCATAAAATGCAAAAACTGCGCAGCTTGGAAATTCCGAACCATCAACCCATCCTAGTCGTCCTTCCTCGAAGTCCACAACGCTATCCGCCACACCATCCGTCCCTGCTGGCAGCTTAACCGTGGAGAGCCTATATGAAACTTTCCCTCTCTTTTCAACATGTGGGTCCCTTTTCTTGACTACCGTTCACGTTATTTTCATTGTCGACTCCACTGGCGCCTTCTATAGTGCGGATAGTCGACGCCATGAATGAAATGAACGACGCTTGGTGGGTTAAAACGGCGATTTCTGGCAGAATCATTTTCACTCATTTTTTGGCATTCAGAAGGCCATTTAGCGGAAATGGACCATAGTTCTATACTCAGTGCTCATGCCCCTACACCATGCGAAAGACCATTTTCGAAAAGCGTCCCACGCCCTGAAAGACCTTCCTTGTGAGACCTCTTTTGACCTGCTTTTGGACCAATACTGGCATTTCAGTCCGTATTTATAGCACATAATGACTATCTGGGGCCGATCGATGCGCACTGTTCTTTTCACGAAGAAGTTTTGTTGCTGGTTGTTAACATATCGTTTTGAAGAGTGGTATAAAGTCAATGTGCACTAATATAAATATTGGATCTGTGTTTGTGTTAAATACAGTGTATTACTAAACATTTCCTTTCTTTGATGTGGCAAGTTTAAACTAGATGAGCCTGCAAATAGTGTAGTTCGTTTCGAATTAACTAAATTTCTCGCAATCATGTTGGAATGAATTCCTACTACGTACGATTTATAGCCACAGCCCAACATAGACCTATAGAACAATTTGCCAACAAAAAACTAGGATATGATTGATGTATGGTATGAACTATCTCAAATATTAGTTCTATTTATCCATTTGCGATCGCGGCATTTAAGCGAGTCCGGCGTGTAAGACCGAGCGCAGTTCTCGCGGTCTGTTGCTGTGGCCCACCAGCAGGCCACAGTAACTGGTCCCAGGAGCAACCTGATTCTTCACGCACCCATTCTTTGAGATGAAGTTCAATAAAAATGTCACAGAAGAAGTGATAAGTCAATAATAAACATACTTGCTACGTTGTAATCATCCATTGCTACTTTTTTTTTGCTTTACAGGGAATAGGGAAGTGCTGAACACATCTCTGAACTATCATGGGCTGTGAGATCCGAGCCCAACAAAATATCATAAAACTATGCCTAGACATGAGGGCACGCTACGAATCTGCAGAATATTTGATGGATTGGTTGGAGGCAGATACCAGTGTTGTGATAACTATAACACATCCTTTATTTCTAGTGTTTTCGACAAGCCTCCCTTTTCAAAAACGGTCCACAAAGTAGAATGAATGTTTAAAAGGGATCCGGAGAAGATGCACTTGTTGCTATATGGAACATGCGAAGAAAAAGATCGTGCCCACAGATCGTGCCAAAAGGGTCTCGTCAAGATGCACCAAGTGTGACAAAAATTTTATTCTGAGTGTTTTTACAAACTATACACGTAGTATGTGCAATTGACAACAACGTCAACAGTGCTTGATTTTGCTACTTTTTATACTATCCTTACATAAACTTTTGCTTCCTTTCACAACTGTAGTTGGAAGTGAACGATGTTTGGACCGAACACGACGCCTCAAAATTCTCTACAAGGCTGTGAGCCTAGCTTGTACCTGAAAGGGTCGAAAAACAGGGAAATATATAATGAATAGTGTAAATACTACATGGGCCACACTGTTACCAAGGGAACAAGGTAAAACATACAGTACTCCTTGTAAGAACTCGCAAATTCACGCGAATACCGCGAGCACGCGTCTTTTCCGTCTTTTCACCAGAAGTCAGCCCAGAGTGGAGTGTTCTTAGAGCTGAAGATGAATATGAGCTCAGCTCCTCAAACCCTATAACGATGTACTCTGAAGCACTGGAAATGCTCCGTCTCAGTCTGTGTCATGCACTTGAGTTTCATTCGAAAAGTAATTGTATTCATATGAAGTGCTAGCTTGAATACTCGTATGAGCTAATTGTTCTGTGAAGATAAAGCGTCCAAAGTTTGCTCTAGCGTGCCCCACCTACTCGACTTCGCTCAGTACAATATGAAAATGATCGATTGGTTTTGTTCAGTCTCCATCGTTCATTTCTAACTTGAAGGCTGTACACGACTGCGTCTACGGTCTCTGCACTCAACATTCCTCCTTAAAGAACCTACTGAGAATATGACAACAATTTGCGGCAAAATAAATGAGTCGATTTTTTCGACATTGTCCAATCTTTGGAGGGATTTTTTGTCAAAATCAAAGGAGGTGGCGTTGAAAGTATTCGACTATCGTGGGTATCTCTTTTTTTTTTGCAAGATTGTTGTAGTGCACCTTACCATAGATCAAAGTCTCACCTTGGTATGGCCCCAAATTTCACTATCCGTCACGCTCAAATCGTAACTTGCTTTTTCCCTCCCCAATGACCTCTTTGCAGCTGAGTTCTACACTGTGAGATTCCCCGCGAAAATACTACCTAATGGTATATGAGTCAACCCATGATGAAAACCCCAAAACAAAACCATTTTCTATCGTATGTTTGTGGCTGATCCGTTTCCTGGTGAGCGTGTTTGGATACGCTCGCGGCCGCGTACTGTAGTGGCGCGGGATCGGAATGGGGGTTTTGGGGAACTTTGATTCGCAAGCGGCCGGCACTGTATTGGCGAGAAGGGGGTTGGTTCGAATAACAATGACTGAATGGGGGAGGGTGAGGTATGGTAGAGATAAGGGGGCGCGAGATTTGAATAGGGAGAGGAAGCGAAGTCGTAAGAGGCAAAACGAGCGTCGGGATCCTTCATAATGTGTTGACTTTGCTTCTTTCTGGGATTTTCTTTATATTCTTCCAAAACGGTGTTATATATTCTTCCCGTGCTACTACAGCACCAGGCCATCCAAACAAGCTCCAGAAAACTGATCAAAGACAGCCACACGGGAGAAAATGGTTTTTTATCACGGGTTGACGGATTTTTCTCACGAGTTGTTAT